GTTCAAGGGTTCGAATCAAGACTCGATCCGCTCGATGGAGTCGAGTTTCACGATGCACGCGCGCGATGCAACGACGTGCTTGAGATTGAACGCTCTCGAATACGAGGACAATCACGATTACAGTTAGTTAGATCAGTTACACTTGTGCAAGCAGAGGTGGCGGTGTATTACAGGCCATGAATGCGACGCAGTCACGCTCGCGGCTGAAACAACAACGGGCCTTTCGTGATAAAATTCACGCCGGAACTTTTTATCGGGCATCAGAAGCTCGTACGGAACGTATTGGGAAACGAGATTCTGTCTGTTCGTTCGCAAAAAAAGAGAAACAAAAACGAGACTAACGAGAAGAATCGCCCATTGTGTCTTGCATTTCGCGGAGGAAGCATCTGCTTGACCGAATTTCGCTTTTCGATTGCGTTGGTCGGTTGCGAGACGATGTTATGATTCTTCTATTAGATAGGTACGTATTATTGCTTAGTCGAAGAAGATTCATTAACGTGCAATAACAAATTTTCTTTCATCCGTTTGGAACGATTCGAAGTCATTTCGGGTAGTTTTCTAAACATAACTCAGTACGATGTGTAAAGCTAAATTAGTTGATTTTATGAAAATTTGGTTGTTTTCTTGTTTTCTTTGTTTCAAGAAAAATTGTAGCTGAGCATTTCTTCGATTTGATGATATTTGTGGATTAATTACGACGTGGAAAACGAAATTGTACCCATTAGGATATGTTATTTTTTGTTTTGTTGGTGTTTAATGTTGCATTAACTATTGGAATTTGTGATTAACAACAATCTGGACGAGTACGCTATTATAATTTACATTATTTTGTCCACTAGCTTCGTTTCTTTCAGAAATTTTAGTACTTTAGGGACTTAATACCAGAAATTATTATTAGCAAATTACATATTGTAATCAATATTGTCATAACAAATTTTATATTTTCATGAATTTAAAATGTAGAGTTGAAAAAGATCTGTCTTTACCTAGGGAATGAAAGTAATTGAAAATCTATGTATTTTCTAGAGAAATCTCCACTTATCAGATACATATTCAAGAATGCTATACAAATATTAATTTTCATTTTTTTGAAAAGGAAAGAAAAGTAGCAAATCGACCTTACCGCAATGAACTTGAAAGTACAGTAGACTCTAACTATATTGCCACTGAACACATTGCCACATGAGGCACTTCCCCTTCACAGGTACTTTCGCGCACACAAATTCGCACTCTGTTGCGTACGCCGACGCACCAGCACGATCCAGTTTTTGCGCAGGCGCTGAGGCCGAGGCTATGGCGACAGAACTTAGCATGGAGGGGGCTCTGAACTCATTGCTATTTTACTTCTCAACAGCCCCGAATATGACAATATAGTTAGAGTCTACTACAGAATGAAAATAAATTTCTGAAACAGAATATTAAAATTATACTACTGATTTACTATATATTATACAAAATGCAGATGTGTATGCTACACGTTATATCAAGAGATTTATCAAGTAACGAATAGCATACTGAATATGTGAGTAGTGTATTCAAGAAAAGTTAAATAAGTATAACCAGATCCATGTCCTACCTCATTAAGGTGAAATTAATACAGATATTAAATACATGTACTATAATTTATCAATCAAGTTAATCAAATATAATTATAAAATCAATATGATTCTAAATGTTCAATGAATACCATTTTCAGCATTCGAAGTTCTAATTGAATGGTACCACAAAATAGTTCTGCATCAACCACGTAAACCGTCGCTGTTAGAAACGTATCATTTCAGCATTTCAGAATTACTCACGATAAAAAGACTGTCCTTCGATGAAGCTTCCGATAAGTCTTCGTTCGAACAAAGTATATCATATTTTCGAATTAAGAGAAGTACCAAAAAAATCGATAACACTTCCGACGAAATCAGGTTACCCGTCGATCCTCGCGAGTCCAGGCGTAGCACAACGGACCATTTATTATTTTCTGCCTCATCGAATTTTCCCCCCATCGGGCTGTCGTCTTTCCCGTTTTCCCGAGGATTGACAAAATAAGATGTCCTCGCCTGTGCTCTTTATCGCCTCACGGCGATCAATCTCTTTTTATCAGAAAAAAAGCGTGGAGTGTTTCACGCGGGGGGGACGACGGCTACGCTTTTCGCCGACAGGGAAGGAAAAACGTCGGAGAGCCCATTTTCACGGTGATTTCGTGGAAATCTCGTCGCGTGCCGCACGATTCAATTTTCCCTCCGTAATATTCTGATTTAACGGGGCCGACCGCCTGGAGGAAAGACGTTTCTCCGGCCGCAGCCGCCGTCTCTCCGCGCGGTTGAGCCGCCGCTTTCAGCGGTTCGTTACTCGGGGGATAATTACGCAACCAGGGAGGAGGGATGAGCCGGAGAAATATTGTCCGCCGAATGTATTAGATCGCGATAAAATACGAAACGTGAAATCCTTATTAAATCTATTTTTGAAATGTTTTTTTTTATAGAGAGAGAGAAGTAATTTATAATACTACTGAAGAGGAGACAATTATTTTTGCAAAAATATAACGTTGGCCAATGTATAGAATCACTGACGATTGCCGTTGATATTCTTACAAAGAATTACTCCAACTAGTGCAATATCCCTTGACTTGCAAGAACATAGGAAAATAAAGATTATGGGAATCTTTAATAGTACGTACATATCAAAGATCTGTTCTAGAAACAAAATTCTGTTCAATTTCGTTATTCGTGTATCAGTAGCAAAAATTGTAAGTTTGCACAAACATCCGCGGTGTACCTACTCATAATTCTTAACGTTCGTGGATAATTGAAATTATTTAATGAGGAAATCGTTATTTCCTTCAGTCACAAAGTGATCTCGATACTTTGTCAGGCATTGCAAGTAACAAATATAGAGTGCATTTTTTCGAAAACAATCCTCGAGGGAGAGATTAATTTTCAAAATTTGTCAAATATAATTACAATTGAAGAGGATTTAACTGTTTTGTTGATCCATTATAGGATTTATAGGTCATTTCTATTTGTATTGATATTTATAGGTACTGATAGTTTCGTGGTATCAGTTGTTTTCCTTAACAACTTTGCATGAATAAAAGAGGAAAAGAAATTTGAAATAGAGATGATAATGTACCCATCACTAAAGTTAATTGCACGTAGAATTAGTCTGTAATAAACAGCCACATTAGCTAGTCGTATTCAAATTTAAGTAAACCGAAATTATCCAAATCTATTTTGTCGAAAATAAAATTTGACTGAAAAAATTTTATTTCCATTCTTATCTACACTTCTTGACTTCTGCGTGTGAAATCATCTTTTAAAGTCCACCAAAATTAGAAAATCTTGTAACTTTAGCTTACTGAGACACTTAATAAAAGGAGTAAGTGTCTGCTTAATTCCAGTTTTCGTTGGTGTATGAAAGTTCAGTAAAACTATTACACTTGAACAATGCTGCATTAAAACTTCTTTAAAATGTATAAGGCCAACATAAATGAAAAGTTAAACCTTCAGGTACCGAATATGTCTACAAACTATCTTCACACCGGTTTATTCGAGATAAAAAAAAAGCCAAGGCACACGATACACCCCACCACAGATTTCAACTCGTTCGATGAACCGATGAAAAAGAAACTGCTTCTTCAGTCTTTAGCAGGTACCACATGGTTAACCATCACACGTCAAAATGATTAATGGTCCATCTCTACGGCTACCTAGCGAAGTCCTAGCTCCGACTTTTGTCACGGCTACACTGTTCTGCACTTTATACAGTAGTCATTACTCTATAGGACGTTTTCATTGAAAGAATCATCCTGAATACTAATTCTACATTAAAACCTGTTCTTAGAATAGATGGAACCATGATTCGCATTCGATATGAAGTCGTTTTACTCATTCCTTCAACCGTTAGCCACATTGCAGGACATAATTCGATAAAACTTAATTGAAAAAATGAATGTAAAAATTTGGTATACTTTGACGATGTGAAATGTAATTTAAGTACGGAATAAAACGTTTGAATTAATGATTTCTTGGTATGTTCCTAATACGAGCTCCATTGTCAGAGTGGCGTAAATTTGTAATTAAAAATTTTTCTTTCATGCAAGTTTAATCCCAGCTTCTGATATTTCATATGAAATATTCATAACGGGACGAACGTTGTTTCATTTTGAATTGGAAAATAAGAATCTAATAGGATTAATTAAAGGTAACAGGGAAGCCGCTTTCAAAAGCTGGCCAACGAATTCAATTAATATCACTCGTAATTCGCAACGAACCGATTACCATTAATGCTTCGTGTCTGATCAACGTTGACTCATTACGTGAAGATAATTAATCCTTCTTATATAATATGAAAATTAATTACATCTAGAGTCGCATTTTTCGGTTGATCTAAAATATTGAACACAGATATAAATCAAACTCGTATATCTTTTTTCTTTCAATCATTCATAGCTGCATAGTGCAGTTATACATTTGTTTAGAACTTGAAATTTTTACAAAAATCGGCTGCCGACCGAATTCCTTTTGGGACATTGGCTAAACTCGAAATTCAACGAAGTACATGGGTAATATATACATAACTTTTTGGCACAAAAAAGACCACTTTTTTATAAAAACATGCCGACGGTCTTAAGAGTTAATGAAGACTTTAGACAGAAGAGCATTTGTTACTTTTGCACACGCGTATTACCGTTCGTTACCCCACGTCATTTTATTACACCGTGAGAGGGTTATGTAGAAATCGTTTTCCCCTGAACCGTCAATCGTCATCCAATCGTTACCGATCGACCGAACCTCGTAATCTCCACACTATCACCGTCGTTGATTGGGACAACGGGCGCAACGAAAAAACGCTTTATCAATCATCGTTCGAGAGGCTCGGTAAGTGGGAAGTAGATTCGACTCAAAGATGTCGATTGGGTGGGGGATTCGACGTGGCCGGGACCGATCCGTCGAAGTGGATCGTGAGAGGCCGCGGTTTAGATCTCGAATCAAGGATCCGATACTCACCTATAATGGTGTGCACCCTCACGGACAGCTGTGTCCTGAGAACGATCGAGTTCTTTCGGCTGGAACAGACAGAGAGAAACAGGAAAATCAGTGAACAGGTCCACTATAGGTAGAGCATAATCGACGGAAAAGCGACGCATAACAAGAAATGTGGGTTAAGCATTCGAGACACCCAACGGTAGGCCTAGGGCCCCGCGCGCCGGATGGAAAAGGATCGCGATACGCAACCGCGGATAATTATTTCTTACACCATAGGACGGCCTGCTAATTATTCGTGGTCGCGAATTAATCGAGTCTACCAGAGTCAGTAATTACTTAATTGGGCCTGCGTGAACGGTTGCACAACCCAGCTAAGTATATATACGTGTGGGGTCCTATCTATGTCTCTCTTTCTCTGTTGCTGGTTCACGATTCGGTACGAATTGGGTTAGAGTGGGCTGGCTTCCCCCCTCAGCGTTTCAGGATCTGTCTCGCGCACCTTGGCTAGTTGCGAACTTTAAGGCTCTGCGAACCTTCCCACGCCTCGCGTCCCTGAGAACCTACTGCGACCGTGTAGACAATGCATTTCAAGAGTCGGATGAAAGAAGGGAGGGGGGTCGAGGGGAGGGTACATACGGAGGAGGCCAAAAGAAGACGAAGACACAACGGCGCGGTGTACAGCGAGCGTCAAACGCATCCGGGGCGAAAAAGTCGGGTACGTACGCGCGTTAATAATGTTTCCGCTCGTTAAGCGAGCGAGACGGGGCACGATTACGCGGTCCCTTTTTCCCACACGTGCAACAGGGTACGCTGCAGAGGTCTACGAGCTGTTCTTTCAGGTGTACGCGTTCGCTTGCTGATTCTGACGCGGTCGGAGATCGGTTCAAGATTAAGCGCGATTGTGTCTTCATGGAAATGGTGGGGTCGCGATGTGAAATTGGACTTCTGGGGGTAACCGACGTGTACAGGGTGTTCACTCTAACGGTATTACACGAGTCTTCGACCGTTTGCGACAATGTGATAGAAAAAGACAACGTATAACAATAATGAACATTTCGAAAATGTATTTATTTCTGTGGTGAACTCGAAGCTTCCTTGACTCTTTTTTTAGTGGAACCGTATAATTTATTACCTGCGTATTTTAGGGAACACTAAATAAATGATACTAAATTTACGGCGGTGGAAATAGTGATAGGCATATTTACATGTTCTCTGTTCAGTCTTTTAAAGTGGAGACAAATCGGAAGAACGTGCAGGTTAGTAGATTGGCTTCCACTGCTGTAACTTTAGTGTTCTGTGAGTAAACGTGTCACATTCTGTATTGGTTTAGTTCGTCTTACTGCCTCTTATAATATAACGAAACAAACGTATATGGTTGTACTTAAAATACTCAACGTGATCTTGGGTTAGGTATCGCTATAAAAAAAAAGTATTTTTTTATTACGTTGTCGCAAATAGCTGAAAAATCATGCAAACTGTTAGATTGACGACTCTGTATATTATTACAAACAGTATACATAATAATCGACCTGCTGAAGTAAAGATACTGAGAGCAGTGAATGTTCGCATAAGATGTATTTGAGACGTGAAACAATCTAAGTCAATGTAAGAATAAAAGTATGGAGAAGTTATGCTGTTATTTATAGAGATAAATAATTTGTTACAAAAATAGAACTAAAAACAAACGATTGTAGTTCGAGAATATTTTAAAAAATGCAGTTACAGAAGTATTTATCCACTGTATACATGACATATTTAATCAATGTTAAAGATAGAACTAACCTGGATTAATATACTTTACATAAGGATGCAGTCAACTGAGAAATTATACACAGTTTAGTTTGAAAAAGTATTGTTATTTTACAATTATGGATATAATCAAATTAATAAAAAACTAGTTCCTTTTATACATAACAGATTAGAAGAATATAATGAAATCGATAAAACTGACCGTGAAGTATACAATATATATTAATTTTATTGTAAATAAGTATGTATAAAATAAATATTAACACTGCGAAGATAATGTTGTGCGTTTTTTCCTAAGTTCATTAGTCAAAATACTTCTCTAAGTAAATTGTATATCGTTTCTCGATTCGATGCATCTTAAGTATTATATATTAAATCTTAACTGATCACATGCCGTTCGTGAGACTGGTATTTCTAGGAACGTGTATAACAATGAAATTTTGACAACATTGTTTAGAGATCGACATAAGTTGAACTTAAACATTTATTCTTCTTTGCTAATACATTGAGGTGGGTAAGGTGGTATAAAACAATAGAAATTGTCCTCACTTCATTTATTTAGTACAATCGGTAAGCGCGAATACTAGTGCAGTGTTGGTGTTGTAATCTCGGAGGCTTACCATCGACTCCCTACTCTCGCTGCATTTCCTAAATCCCTCGGAGTTAGAAAAGGCAAAAATATGGGAGAGAAAAAGAAAAGAGAATAGAAAAGGAAAACTTGAGAAATCAGCGACAGCAATAGGGACAGCGGAAAAGAGTCATAAACAGAGAAAGCTAAGAGGTAGGCGAAGGACCGAGACTAACGAAAACCAGAACTCTGGCGACGCTCTCAAGGATGCGTTGGAAATTAGTGAAGGGCCTGTCACCAAATGTGCGACCAGCAGACAGGAAATAGAGAATAATAGCGTAACAGAGTTGAAAAGGAAAGAGAAATTTTTAGAAGCAAAATATGCATTGGCGTGCGTGGTGCTACAGCCACCACACATTAACACACAAATTTTCAAGAAAAAAAGCAACAAAAAACAAATTAAACAGACCAACAGGTGGTTTTGAAATTACTAGAAAATTTATAAATGAAGCAGTCTTACAAACGGCACGTGACCAATTAAAGGTTAACAAAGATTAATGTATATTAAGGGGTCATGCTCAGTCAGAAATTTTCAACAAATCGATTTTTCACTTTCTACATTTTCTTTAAGTACAACATCTTGAGAATATTCTGTGCAAGTTTCAAGGTAATCCAATTAAAAATGACAGAGGTACAGGCGTTAAAAAATGAACATGTTATATAAGTGTAAGCTTGACTTGAAACTTTAAACGCGTTTTTCTCGAAACTACATTTTTCAAATCGATGATCAATATTTCTCGAAAATTACTGTGTCGATTTACAAATCAGAAAAACTTGTCCTTGATCGAAGGATTCTTTTGTTCGTTCTATACTTTTTTTTTAATTCACCAAAAACGAGTGATTTTTAGGTGAAAATCGTACTTTTTCAGGAAAACGTCCGCTATTTTGTTTCTAATCAATATTTCGAAAAACCCCACGTTCAAGGACAAGATTGGTTCTTCCATTACATAAATCTTACTGAATTTTTAATTTCAGATGAACCGTTACGAAGTTACAGTGAAATATTTACTAATAAATATTTTTAAATAAAAAAATTACCCTATAATCTAGAAACTGCAATCTTTGAAACAAAAACACATTTTTTGAAAAAGGTCTTATAGTTTTCGAGAAAAAAATTCCTAAAGAACACTCTATTTTCGGCCTCCTGACTGAGCATGACCCCTTAATACAATTAAGAAAACCAACAAGGAAGTCTTCATATTTACTATTTTCTTGTAACACCCTTGTATTCGCCTATTTGTAAACTCATTTACTAAAAGCGCCAAACGACCCTATCGCCACACGAGGTACCAAACAAGTTACACACAGTCCCTTCCAATCTCATCAAACTTTCAAATAATTCAAACTCTCCCCATAATAGCGCTCTCGTCGCGTAAACTCGTCGGAAGATTAAACGTGGAGCCATTACTACACGAACTATTATGAACTTCGTTACTACGATTGAAAAACATTAAGAAGTTCCAAGTTATTCCCTGGATGGCATCCCCTTGCACGCCTATCCGCAGGGCGAAAAAAACTTTTGATCCTCGTCGCTTGCCTCGCGAACCGTGCTATCCCGTAAACAGACTATTTCCATGAGAATCGAGGAGAAAGAAGCCGGGGGGGTCCGGTGAACGAGTCGTCGGACTCCCTTAAGAGAGTTGAACCACGGCCGGGCGGAAGCAACGGGTGAGGGGGGTTGCTCGAATAAATTAAAAACTTTCCGGCACGGGGCCAAGTTCAATGTCGGCTGCGCGGCTTCCCGGCGTCGTTTACGTTTCCGCGTAAACATGTCGGACCTGCCTGCCTTCTTTTCGTTCGCATTGTATTCGAGTCCCCGGGTCGCTCGCGTAATTGCCGCGTATTGTTCCGGCGGTAATTGCTCGAGAACAGACGTCGACAAACACGTAGGGAACGCGTACGCTCGTTCGTCCTCTGCCTTGGCCAACCGTAGAAAGTATGTAGAATTTCAATCTCGCGTGGATCGAGATAGAAATTTCGAAAGTTAGCAATTAACACCAGATACCAGGGGGATATATTAGAATTCACTGATTTCGGAATGTTGATCTTCGGATGACGAACTTGGATCACTTTAAACTAAGACTTTAACCCTTTCACTGCTATTGACGCTTATTAGGTTTGGTGCTTATTGGAATTTTGTTCATAGTAGAGTAAATCATCGATCAGTGTTCATAGGCTCCTCGGCACTAAATGTTCAGATGGCATCCACACCATGAAGAGCCCCCCGTGGAACCAGTCAAGCACCCAGTGGTGGGAAGCCACCAAGCACCAATCGATGATTTATTGTAAGTTGCTTGGCGCTTATAGACGTTTAACCGATATTGTTCACTAATAAATGGTTGGTGCTTGTGTTTTAAACGATTACTACAAAGCGTTTAGTACATTGGTACAAGCTTATTTGCATGATTTTCAAGAGGCATAGAGTAGGTGGTACTGATACAGGCAGGGTCTAAGGGCGGGATTCATAGTCGTTGCTTATTCTTAAGCAAATGCTCAAGTCCCCAGTTATAAATGTGTAGTCCATACGTATACACGTATGCATTCATAACTGGGAACTTAAGCATCTGCTTAAGAATAAGTAGTGACTATGAATCCCGGCCTAAATCTAGGCTAGTCGAAAGTATAGGGTCTTGTTAGATGCTTCATCCTAGCGGGACTAGTGTGAAATTACGACTCAGGACAAAAGAAGCATATTTAAATGAA